AACGACCGAGACTGTCGGAACCTTCCGATTACAAAACGAACGCCCAACTCTTGAGCCACGATCGCCCCTAATCATGCAGTGACCTAGTAGTAAGTAGTAAGAAGTAAGAAGTAATACTTCTACTCCTTCAGTGGTCCGTATACAGTGCAGGCGAAATTGAGTGACAAGGATTATGTCATAGACACCCCAGAGCGAAGGAAACAGTGTTGTGTGTGTCATATCAATATGATGAAGCCTTACTTTGCTAGTCGTGTATCAACAGTTGCGACTGTGGGGGTGCCAGTTTCCAAAACCTGGTATGACCCGGTAAGTGATGATTTGGTTTTCGGTTGTGCTGAGGGCTGCACACGACTTAGAAACTCTGAAATCCTAAGTGATCTAAGGTACACATTTAAAGGATTTAGATGATGCTGTTCAAAGTGACGTGTGTCATCCTACTCCTACTCTTTTCTCTGACCACTGTGCTGGAGCATGATATCAATGTGGGAGACCACCCTCCAATCAAACAGCATGCCTACCGGGTGAATCCCACTAAACGTGCCATTTTCCAGACAGAAATTTCTCATCCGTTGGAAAATCATCTTGCTGTTCCTAGCTCTAGTGCGTGGAGTTCCCCCGTGTCTCCTAGTGCCTAAAGCAGATAAAACCCACGGTTTAGTATGGATTTTCAGAAGGTGAACAGCATGACCAAACCTGACTCCGATCCTCTTCCCAGAATGGAAGATGATCAATATGGTCGGTTCTGCGAAGTTTGTTACTAAGCTGGACTTGTCGAACGGTTATTGGCAAGTTCCTCTAACATCACGTGCGGCCAACATCTCTGCTTTTGTTACTCCTGACCATTTTCTTCAGTACACTGTCGTGCCTTTCGGGTTGCGCAACGCCCCCGCCACATTCCAACGGCTCATGAATATCACGCTGGGAAGCGTTCTCAACTGTGAAGTGTATTTAGATGATATTGTCGTCTATTCAGACACCTGGTCAGAGCATAAACGCTCACTGATGTGTTCCATCGCTTGCAAAGGGCATCCCTCACCCTCAATCTCGCCAAGTGTGATTTTGCAAAGCCACTGTGACGTATCTAGGGAAACAGGTGGGTCAAGGACAAGTGCGCCCTATTTTGGCAAAAATCCCTGCCCCTCGTACTAGGCGTGAGCTCCGCCATTTTCTCGGCATGGTGGGCTACTACCAGGGTTTCTGTCGAAATTTCGCGGAAGTGTGAATACTGGGTAGGATATGATACTGGTTTCACACCAGCACATTTGGATGGGGTGTTTAGAGAATTTACAGCATACTGTAAAATCTCAACCAAAACAGACACGGACAGCTTCCTACAACTCAGTGAAACTTACAGGCTAAATAAAACAGACTTTTACAGATAATTACAATTAATAAAAATATTAAAGTTGCAAGGGAGGATTCTGAGGAGGCGGGCCTCATTGACATGTTTGTCGACACCTATAAAGGTAAAGTACATAAAAGGCTGATCTCGAAACTGTACTCATGTTTACAATCACTTAAAGAGGACTTAAGGACTTAAAGA